GAGACCAGAGACAATGCCAAAAATTTTGATAGGCATGAAATACTGACTACAAATGTTCATTCCACTATCGCTATGGGCCTCGTTAGACACTCCTTGTGGACCCGAAATCCACAAGGAATCGTTCCACCTGTCCTTGGGGACGATTCTCGAAAAAAAAAATGAAAACACCACAAGGAGATTTCCTTGTGGCGTCCTTGTGGCCACAACCATTTTTTCCTAACCCACAAGGGACCTCCCGAGGTCCCTCGGAGCACAAGGAAGCGCGAAATTCGGAGCGGTGAAGGCATGCGTCGACGCACACTTTCGTTTCGTGGGTGGTCCAAACGTGGTCCAGCGAACGGGAGCACGGACATCCTTGCGTCAAAAATCTGCACGGCGCCCCAACGGCTCCAAACGGTAACCGTCAGCGTGAGGCCTCCGTCCGTCTACGTGAATTGCCGGCTGGCGTCCTGTGGTCTACTGAGGCGGGCGATCGTCGATAACGGTCCGAAATTCGAATGCTTTTCCGACCCGGCGCCCTTTTTGACGACGACGACAGTTTCATTGCAGAAGATCATTGTTTTCTTCGTTTGTCATCACGCCTCGCACGTTGGAGCACAGATCTTCCACCGATCTTTCTTGTGTCCACTGGCTTGTTCGTTGGACGGTCAACTGCTGTCGTCGGTTTGTTGCCCTTTGAACGGCCCTTACATGGCCGACCTGCTGCACAGGCTGCCTCTGCTGCCCCTCGTCGTCGTGCTGCTTCTCGTCGTTGTCTTCTTCCACGTGTGTTTCGTCGGCCTCGTCCCGCTCGCGGCTCGCAGAAGGAGATCTTCCAAGAAAGCCGACAGGATGGATGCCCCCTGTTCTGCGCTTCACCCACCACCACGGCGTCACACGAGGAATCACTCCACAACCCAAGGCGTAACACAGCTGAACAACAGCCTCTGACGTCGCCACGTATTTGGCCCCATCGTCCGGAGCTTGCGTCAATGTCCTTCGTCTACACGCGCGCAACTGCTCCTTCAGTCGCCCCAGCGCCCTCTCCTGCTGACATCGAAGAACGATCGTGGACACGGCCGCCGCCACAGCCTGCAGCTCACGAGGCGTCAACATATCACGTCTACCCTCTGCACCGCCCTCCATAGCCGCGACGTGGACACGGTCACGTCTTTCCGCCGCCGTCTGTATCGTCCTTCCGCACCCGACAAAGAAGCCGAAGACGTTTGTCGAAAGGTGGCCCCTTTTCTCTGCTTACAGTCCCGCGCACGGAAACGAGGAGCAAGGCGCAGTCGACGTGTGAAAAGGTCCACGGCGATGGATGCACCACACGCTGCCCGCGCACTCACAACGGCCTCGGGATGGAACCTCCGCCGCCGCTGAGCCCCTTTCCGCAGAACGCCGTCCTCGCGCCGCCAGCCACACGTCGTCGTCGTCGTCGCAGCAGTCATTTGACTTTCAAATTTCAAATGCCCACGCCCTTGGGGTTAAATTTCTTTTCGCGTCGCCCGCCGCCTGCCGTTTTCCGCCTCGCGTCGCTGGACCACGCCGCCTCCACACAGACAAAAGAAGCTGGACCAAGGACGACCGACCCCGCGGCCGCTAATTTGCGTATGAAAATCGCCGCGGGAAAGCCACAAGGAAACATCCTCGGGGGAGGTCCCCAAGGATGAGTGGAACGACGCCGCAAATTCCCCTAAAAAACCACAAGGACATTTCCTTGTGGCTCAAGGAACTCGTGAGGAGTGTCTAACTATGCCCTTTGTGACCTACTAAACCCTGAATCGTCATCGCGTTTCAAAAATGTACCCGGACAGGGTAGCCGGGTAAGAACATTAAATGGGGAAACAGAGCATGGCTAAGTAAGGAAATATATATGTGAAGAATAAGTAGGCATTGACTCCGTGGGGAATGGGTACGTCGGATTGGCAGGACGATAACAACAAATAGTAAAGTAGTGATGGTCGAGTCCGAGCTAATTCCCCGAGCGGTGTCCACCCTAGTTCGGTGGGGTCACCATATCGAACAGTCAAAGCCCGTCAGCAAGTGTCGTCCCGCCTGGCTCCAAGATTTCCGGACCGACCATAGTGTCGGGCCCACACCGAAAGGAGCAAGCGAAAAACGACAAAACGAAAAAACTAAAAAGACGAAATAACAAAAAAACTCAAAGTCCAGGCTACCCCGTAAATGGAAGCCCTGCAAAATATAGATAGGTTGGATAGTATCTGGAGCCGAATCCGGAGCAGAGCCAAGACAGCAGATTGGAAGCTGGTGAATTCATTGCAGTCAGGGGGAGGGGCACGTGTCCCCGCTCCTGGTTCGGAGCCTGGTAGGCGTAAATCTCCTGAAGCCGGCCCTGGTGGAGAATACTTCCAGCATCTTGGTTAGTAGGGTATTCTCTGCAACCTTAGCCAAATTGGCTAGGGCACACACACACACACACACACACACACACACACACACTGAGAGAGAGAGAGAGAGAGAGAGAGAGAGAGAGAGAGAGAGAGAGAGAGAGAGAGAG